TTCCTTTGCTGATCGGATGTGCGGCTCGCTGAAACCGGGCACGCTTTGACATTAGTCGACACCGGGGATGCCATCTCGATATTGCAAGTACATCAACCACATCCCACAAAATCATTGCACGTTGCCAGTAGATTGCTCGGTGGCAAGCCCAGCCCTCCGGTTTCTTTGGTTTTCAGAGTTGTTTCTGGTTGGTTTAGTGATAGTTTCCGAGCAGATCAGATCTGAGGCCAGCCCAGAAAATCGGGGAAGGTTCCCTTACTGGCAATCCCATCCACCGTTGCTCTGAGAAGAACTCGACACAACGAACGGTGCAGAGGTTGAGAAAGTGTTGTTTTTCTCCTTTTCTTGCTCCTCGCTGCCTGAGTTCATGCACTTTGGTGACTTTTGGGGTTGGGTTTGGACCATTTTGGCGGTAAACAGAAAGCTTGGGCACTTTCTTTGGCCCATAGGAAGTGATGGGCCGTTTTCTTTTTGCCGGGAGAGTTCGTGGAGTTGGGCCCAGAAAGCCAAGCGAGTTGAGCAATTAAGATTCGTATCCACGAGAAATGATTTGGTTTCATCAGAGTTCACAAGCCCCATTCTACTACCCCAAGAAAGAACATGTGGGTGCGGCTCAAAATTAAACGATCGGAGGGGCAAACCGCAGGTCTTGGTTTCCATGTCTCCACTTGCCAGGGTTCCAGTTTGGTACCGTGTTTTTGGAGCCACAGCCATGTATCTCCAATTTTCTCTTCACTCATCATCGGTTGACCGTTACTTTGCGGAGAAATCCGCCTTTGACAAAAGCCCAACAGATGAGCTTTTGCTTGGCTCAATTCAAGGAGTAGCCTTGGGTTTAGTTCGACCGTGTTTGCTTTTGCGAGGCTACCCTTCTCACGTTGGAAGGGAAAAGCAAAAGGACCACGCAGATTTTGCCCCTTGTTTTGAGGAGTGGTTTTTGTTCTTCAAGGGTACCTTTGCTGGGCTGATGGATTTACAACGAAATCTGATTTTGGGGGTTCTTATTTGAAGACAAACCCATTCGGTTGGGGAAGAACAGGAAGACCGAAACCCATGTTTCGTGTTCTATGACACATACCCACTCGTGCGTCTGTCTTTTGTTTGGGGGTACCCTTTTCGGCGTTGTGTTAAAAAGGAAGCCGTTGCCATGTTTGGGTTCCCCCATTTTAAGACGCGCCCACTCGGGTGTTCACCCCACTTAGTAGGAAGAACATCCAAGGGCCCAAACATCAACCTTGTTTGTACCCATTTAGGAAAAATCGCCCGGAGGGAAACAATATATAACGGTGTTCTTCCATAAGACCCGCTGAGCGTCCAAAAAGCGTCCCCCTGGGCCTCGACTCGACTTGAATCGCGACGCGCTCGATTCGAGGCCCAACGTCACGGAGGTGGCGCTGGTGGACGAGGAGTGGCAGCCGACTCCGGGGGACCTCTCCGAGAGCAAGGAGCGGACGATGATTCGAACCGGGTTTCGATGCGATTCGGATTCGATGCCGTGGAATTTGTGGGCTGAATGGGCAAAATGCCCACTTTTCAGGGCGGATTCGAGTCGATTCGTTTCGGATTCGATGCCGTGGAACTTGCGGACTCCGCACTGGGTTTTTTTTTTTTTTTTTTTGAAGGGCGGAAAAATAAAAGGAAGCCAACTAGGGGAAACAAACACTTTTTTTTTTCCGTTTTTTTTTTTTTGGGGGGGGGGTCGGGCAGGTGTGTCAAAATAGGGATTGAAGTCTAGGTGGGCTTCAATTTTCCATCAGCCATGGGATTTAGCCCACATCCAAGTACCCGGTGACCTTGCTGGTTGCAGGTCGGTCGTTTTTTTTTTTGCGATCTGTTGGCATGTAGTTTTTGGTCCAGATCTTCGTTCATTCAGCACCAAGGGGGGGGCAAAAAAAAGGACGGAGAGAGACGCCGAACCAGCAGGTTGCGTTTTGATTCAGCCCAAACCTCTCGTGCGTCAGTGGCCCCGATGGCATGCCTAGGGCAACCCCTGCTAGGAAGCCTTCAGCTCGAACCTCCGGTGAGAAAAATGAACCAATCGGGGGGCGGTTGCAGTTGGGTTCGTGACAAAAGGGATTGTTTTGGAGGGTTGCTATTCTTCGGCCGGCGCGGAACTTTCGCCGCTTCAAAGGCGTCAGAACTCGCTTCGGATGAAGCCGGGTTGCGCTTGCAGCAAAGGGTAGCGTAGAAGGCAAACTACTATATTGGATGTGCCGGGAAGCTCCGAACGAGGGAACACTTGGCGTCTGAGGGTACCCGTTTCGGGGCTGGTAACCCCTACAATTGGTGGTTTGCATTCTCCGAACTCGGGATGCTCCGAAGGAGGGGCGCCACACTTAGCTTGTGCTTTTTGAGGTTACCCTAGAACTGGGGCCCCCAGTTCTTGTGCTTGAAACTGGGGGCAAACGTCGATTTGCTCCGGACCAAACCGAGCGTCTCGCGTCCGACGCCGTCCGAAGCCGCGACGAGGAGGCGGAGGACGTGCCGCCCTCCTGGGAATCCAGCCGGGGAGCCATCTCCGGTGTTTGGGGTTCGGGAAATGGGGTTGGGTTAGGGTGGGGGCAAAAGGGGAGGGGAGGCGGTGGGGTTTTTTGGGATTTGGGGTTGGGAAAACGGGTGGCGGTAGGGGGCAAAGGGGCAAAGGGCGGTGGGTGAGCCATTCGGAGGTCTTTTTTTGGAGGGCGGCCAGTTTTGAGAGTGGTTTTACGAGGGCGGCCAAGAGGAAAGCCCGCCAACATGGGGAGGGCCGTTTGTTTGAGTTCGGGATTCATTTCCACACATGAGATGTGGGAAGAGGAGAGTTTCAACCAGGTTGTTCTTGATTTCCGCCACTCATTTTGGCTCCCGACCTACTTAGAAAGCAACCTGTGATGCTGAAGACCCTTCAAGAAATCATCAAATCAGGGCAAGGCATATTGCTACGTTTGGCCTGAGACATATTGGCACAAGCTCATTGCCTTTGCTCCAGTGTGTGTAGTGCATGTATCGGCTTTCTGGGACTGTCCCACGCGCGAAAGTGGCCTTGACGAGAATAAGACCAGGGATATGTCTCCACAATCTGCCGACAGAATTCTTATGTGGAAGCGTGCTTTCTCATGTGACTACATTCTAGTTCCTTCCCAACGCAGCGTCTGAGCTTTGCTCTTGGAGGACTTGGCAAATGGCTGGCATCGTGCAAAAGGTCTTTCGGACAGGGAGTGTTGATTCTCTTGACACAGTTGAATTTTCTGCTCTTCGCTACGCACAGGGACCCAGTTGCAACCAGTGGATCCCCTTTAAACTCAAGCAACCAAAAAAAGGGGGCATCCTTTCTTTCCCGTGGAAATCCACTAGGCATCTGAAAAGATGATAGGCCATGTGCGATCAAATTCTGCATCCAATCGCAGTGGGAAGTTGGATCAAGCCTGTGTCGTAGAGCCCTTCCTCATGGGAAGCTCGGCGTCTCGCCCATCGCTCTCGTTTGCAAACCTCAACCATGTCGTGCGCTGTGATCGAGAGTCCGTGCTTGGGAATCCTTTCTTCATGGGTGAAGATGGCAAGGACGAAGCCCTGCGTGACGCAGTTTGCGATGCCTTTGCCGAGCTTTTGGCCGTGGTCCACGACTGGGATGCGGAGGCTTCAGCGCAACTACCAGTTCACGAGATCGGGCTGCGGTATGGGGTGCCTCTGGCTCCAAAGCGCAAAATGGCCACCGTGCAAGAGTTCCAGGCTGCCTTGCGCTCCCTCGCGTCGCGAGCTCGCGCGGGGGAGCAGCTCACTCTGCTCTGTTGGTGTCACCCTCGTCGATGCCATACACATGAGATCAGCGCCGTTCTGGAGCAGTGGTGAAGCTCATCTGGCCATGGGTCAAACTCCAAATCGTACCCCCAGTGAACATCCCAATCCCCACTGAAATGGACAAATGGGTGGTGAATTCACCTACCCCAAAATGGGATCCCATTGGTTTTGACCCACAGCCATTGGACGCTTGCTGCACCTTGTGCAACAACTGGCGCTGGAATGCTGTGCTGTATCTGCAAAGAAGTCCAATGCGTCGTGCGAAATCTTTCAGATGAGTGTCGAAAAGGGATGCAAACAGCACATGATTGTCTCGTGGTGCAAGGGATGGGTTCCGTTTGCTACCCGTGAATTGGTTCACGGGTTCTCAGGAAGTCTGGGTGTGGGCACCGCATATTGGAAGAGCATGGTAGTGATTTCCAAGCCAGGCGCAAGTTGATCGGACAACCCTCGAAAGACTTCCCATTGCGAGATCCACCTAGCAACCACCTGAGAAACCTCGGAATGATTTGACTCACCGTGTTCATACCAACCAACGGGTTCTGGTTTCAACGAAAGGCAAGCATCTTTTTTTGGCATCCGGGACCAACCCAGCTCAGAGATGGGGAATGTAATAGGGGAACTCTCTCTAAAATGGTGGCTGGACGTCCAAAGCGTCCGCAGTTTAAACAGAAGCAGAGGTGCATTTTGCTTGGATGTTAGGACTTTAACTTTTTGCCAACGAATGGGTTTTCCATTAAACCACTAAAAGTTATTCACGTTTAGCGGGGGAGCAGGATTCGCAACCGAGAAAAGCAGATCGGTTTCTTTTGGCTCAAGGTGCGCCGAGCCCTGTGTACATAGTCTGTTTCGCAGCCTGGCAACCAGCCCGACATGGAGGAGGCGGGACCTGCGTCTGGGAGAAGAGTGTTTGCGCAGGTGTGTCCTTTTCAGGCTAAGTTTGCTTACACATCCATGGATTTAGACATACTTAGACCATGTTCAAAGATTTCTTTGATTGAAGTGTAGAAGATGTTCAATCATGCAATGGACTGGCACATGTTGAAGCATATTAGTTCGGAGCATGTTTAAACATCTATTGGTTGGAACCTGTTCAACCATCCGATGAGTTGAACATGTTTCAACATCTATTGGTTTGGAACATGTTTAACCATCTATTGATTTGTAATATGTTGAATCATCTATTGGCTTGGAACATGTTTAAACATCTTTTGACTTGGACCATGTTTATGCATCTATTGGTTTTTAAGCATCTATTGCTTTGGAGCATGTTCAATCATGTATTAGTTTGGACCATGTTTAACCATATTGTTTTGGACCATGTTTAAACACGTATTGGTTTGGAACATTTCCACGCATCTCTTAGTTTGGACCGTTCAATCATCTATCGGTTTGAAACATGTTGAAGCACCTATCGGTTTGGAGCATGTTTCAGCATCTTTATTGGCTTGGAACATGTTTAAGCATATTGGTTTGGAACATGTTTCAGAGTCTATAAACCAGGTACAACATACATCTTAAGACTTTCACTCCTCAAAATCGTTTCCAGCTTTGAATGATTGATAAGGTGGACTGGACATAAGACAGCGGGGGAGTCTCGCTGGGGATCCTATTTCCTTGACCTGTCCAAACTCCTGTCTCAGAATCTGTAATACAATGGGTGTGGCTCAAGATTAAACAGGAGGGGCATTTTGGGACAGTTTGTTTGAGCCCCAGCCAAATGGCTGAAAGAAGATCCCAAGATTCCAAAGGCTTACGATTGGTTTGGGTCGCTCAGGCGCGGGAAAACACAACCGTCCCACCAAGTAACCGCCGGACGTCCTGACGTTCGGGACCCGGTCGCTTCAACGGGAAAATGGTCCAAACCAGGATCCCCCTTTTTGATCTTTTGGGTTTCCCGTTTTGGTGATTTAGTCCAGAACCAAAAGGTGATCTTTTATCTCCAGGTCCGCTGGACATCATGGGTGGGAGGGCGGAAGCTCTCTCCAAGTCTGCCTCGCCAAAAAAACAAAAAGCAGTTAACACAAATCAAAAAGAACACAACAACAATTAAACAAAAATCAAGCAACTAGAAAAAAAACAACTCTCTGCCTCGCAGGCACCGGCCCAGCTCTACATCGGGTCGGACACCGAGGACAGCGACATCGTCTCCGAAGCGTCTGACGCCACAGGCCTCGCGAGCGTGCTCGCTCGCTCGCTCGCTCGCTCGGATCTGGGAGCCGCGTTGGTTTGGCTTTGGCGAAAACGCCGGTGGGGGCAGTGGGGGGGGGGGATGCGTTGGATTTCTGGTGTTGGCTGCGGGAAGGAAGCCGTGTTTGGGATGATGGGGTTTGGGATGATCGGGTGTGATTGGAACTCAAAACAGGGGAATGATAGCACCGTGGTTGAACCGATCTCGTCAGGAATCGGTGGCCGAACAGGTGGTTTTCGAATTTGGTGGTTTTCGAACAGGGGGACTGGGTCCCTGAAAGCAAATGCAGGTTTTCTGTTTGGCACCAGTAGCCCTGGGAACCAACCTCGAAAATGGTACTCTCCACAAAGCACCATGCAAACTGCCTTTTTCAGGCCTTTCGGGGGACCAAGGGGCATCATTTGATCGCTTGCGTCGCATGCTTTTAGTGTGAAGAACCAAGGCAGGGCAAGGCAAGTTGAACAGGAAAGGAGCCAACCAACCCAACCAACCGACCAAGCAACCACGCAACCACGCAACCAAGCAACCAGCATCCAAGCAACCAAGCAACCAAGTCTGGTTTGCAGGTAAAACGAGCTTTTCATTTGGCTCTCGAACTGCGCCAGGTGACAGCTGGGCAGTTCTCAACCAGCCTGAGGACGAGGACGAGGACGAGGACGTGGGACGGTTCACAGGAATGTCTCAATGAGTTTTCCCCACAGGAGTGTTGAGGCGTGGTAAAACGCGGCGACAAATTTCGGGATTCAAAACACGAAAATGGCCCTGGGTCAAAACCAAGGGTACAATTTTGGGGTATTTGCACCACCCGTTTTCATCTATTTTATTGGGGATTGGGATGTTCACTGGGGGTACGGGATTTTGACCCGTGGCCAAATGGCTCTGGGCTAGGAACATGACAATGGCACTGTACTTTTGCAGGCTGGGAGGGGCCTCTTTTGGTTGAAAGTAAGGCCCATGTCAACCTTTACCATTTCAGAACTAAAGTCAGCTCGGGTAATGAGCTGCTCACACGAGTCCTCTTGGGGGTTTCCTCTGGTTGCCTCTGTTTTGGGCCGAAAAGGCTGAGCTCTGGGGACAAACACACCCACACGCCCTCAATGTTGACTTCGGAATCCGAAGGAGTAAAACACCGGAGTCTCCGATGTATCACCCACCCCGTCAATTACCATGGAACCCGACAGGGTGTTTTGGATTCCCGCTCGGGTCCCGAACGGAATGTTCCGGATGCATCCGAAGTTAACATGGCTTCGCTGTTCCTGGCAAGTTTTTTTTTTTTTTTTTGTGTTTTTGGTTCTGTTCATGTGTAGGTCGGGGGCTGCAACACACTTTATATTTTTGCTCCCACGCCAAGGGTTGAAGATGGACCTGAGCACATGAGCGTCGGAAGTCAGAGGATTGGGGTGCCGCTTGTGCGAGGAGATAGATGAGAGCGAGGAGAATGAGTCGGAAGAGACAGAGGGAGAGGCCTGCTTCTCGAAAGCTATCCCCGAATGAATGTGGTGTGTGTTTTTTCGAGGCTACCAATTTTGCAGGTTTAAATGGAACCAATATGCAAAACCGCCACAACATAGGGGGTCCCCAATTTTGACATCATGTGTATGGTTTCCTTGGGTGAATGGAAAGTCCTGTGACACGCTGCCCTCAACTGTTCACTTCAGGGTGGGGATCAAGCTGGTTGGATTGGAGAAACACTGGATTGGTTTGAGGATTTGAACCCTGCTTGTAGTAGATGGGAACCAATCTAAATCACCGATGAGAGGGACGCTCATTTTGGCATCCCCAGTTGGAGAGTAAGCGCTTCCTTTGCTTACCTACAATGCTGCTAAACGGAATCGCTGGCCGTGGAAAAAACATGTTGTAGGTTGTTCGAATTTACTTCTTGTGAGATTCAGCAACAAGCGTGGGCCTCTCCGGACCACACATTTTGCACAACTTCAACCTTTTTTGTGAGCAACCTGATTCCGGCTTCCTCTGGGACGTATGCCAAACTCGTCTTTAAAAAAGGGGGCAAGAGCTAAGAACCACCTCGTCAGCGCCATTTTCACGGCCCTTTTATTTATTGGAACCCTGTGGCTTGAAAGGGACACAAAAGGGAAACAAGCCCTCGAAAGGGACATGTTGACCCCAGACTCGTGCCTTGCAATTGCCAGTTTGGACAGCCTTGCGGCCGACATTGCTGCGCATGCCGGTTTGTGAGGCTACTCTTGAGGTTCTAATAGAAGGCAGTCTGGGCATTGTGGAGTCCAGTCTCATTCGGAGGCCAGGGCACCCAGTTAGAGAGGACCAGAAGGAAGACCCAACCGGAGGGTCTTGGGTTTGGGGTACTGTGCTGGTTTCATTGAACTTGCCGGGTCGACTACCCCGGGATCGGGTTCCAAAGTTGACGTCTGGAAGATTCGCTTTGGGCGCAAGACGCGGGGATCTCGCTTTTGTCTCAGAAGGCCATACCACGTGGTGTGTGTGTGTGTGTGTTTTTTCTCCTTTTTCTGGGCAGCTGGGTCTGTCGTTTTTGTAGGGCGGACCCCCCAAAATGGCGCAAAGGCTTTCCTATGAGATTCCCTTTCAGACCCACCAAAACGATACCAGCTCCAAAAAAGACAGGTCTATGTGGTTGTCGTTGTGTCTTTGTCAAGCACCTTTTGTCCAGGCAAAACAGCTCAATTAGAGGTTTTTCAGGAAACAGCCTTACACGAATCCCTCAGGTTACGGAAGAGGCATGTCTACCCAGCTTCCCTCGAAAAGGGTGGTTTGGACAGTTTGGAGGTGTGGGTGTCCCACTTTACCCAACAAGAACCAGGCTTCAAATCCAAAGCACCAACCAGGGCTTGCCTGATCTACCGCAAAAAAGAAAGAAAGAGTGCGCAAAGGAATCGATGTCCCGAACTCCGTTGTAGGGAAAAGAGACGCACCACGAGACTCGGCATCCTTTGCATGGGGATTTCTTCTGACTCAAGCATACTGTGGATGGGCAAAATCCTGCACCAGTTGGAAACCATGGGAAACCACTGTTTGTTGGTATTTACAGGGGAATCATCCCTCCAGGGCCTCGTAGGTGGTGCAGGATTCCGTCCATCCACAGTAGGTGCCTTTTTCTTTTTTATCGTTTGGAGTCGGTACCCTTTCTAGGGTTGCTTCAGGTACTCCTGAGTTTGTGGTTTGGATTTGAACCCCCTTTCTTTGTTCGGAGTCGGAACCCTACTAAGGGTTGTTTCAGGTAATCCTTAGTTGGTGCTTTGGATTGGCCCTGGTTCTTGTAGAGGGTAAACGGGAAACCGCGCCTGAACCCACCAAATCCAAACCACCAATTAGAGGAAAGCTGATTGTTTGAACAGGGAAGCCACTTGCGGCAAACTGAGCCACCATGCTTAAAGCATGGCCAAGCCTTTTGCGGACCTTTCTATCCATTCTGATATCCGCCATTTCGGGTCCCTAAACAAGCTTCGTGCCCAGATGGATAGTTGTGCGTCTTTCGCTCAACCCTTGAGTGGCAGGCTAAAAGGGAGACCGCCTGCCAGCTGTTTGTTTGTTTTTTTTTGTTGGGGGGCGGGGCGGGTTACCCATTTTGTTTTTCTCGGGTTACCCCACAGCGCCATGGGGCGAGAACCCCTTTGAGAGACCCCCCGTTTTCTTTTTTGAGCCAAGACTCGCTCTCTGGCGGAGGCCAGTGGGGAGGAGGATCTGCCGGAGCCAGGCCCGGAAACAAAAAGGGGCCCCTTGGCACAGGCCAAGAGCCAAAAGTTTGGTTTGTGGCTCCCCAGGTCTGGGCAGAGTTTTCTGGGGGCTCCTGGTTTCTTGCTTAGGTTTCCAGTCAGCTTTTTTTGGCTTTTGGTTGGTTTAGTGGTTGGGTTTCCGAATTTCACCCGCCGAGCATGGTTCACTTTAGCAGGGGATCAGTTTAGACAGCCCGGATTTGGGATGTTTCTCTCTACACCCAGGACTCTGGTCGAACATAGCGACTGCTTGTCCGAAAAGAAAGGTGACTGAAAAGGATGCGGAACCGAAGGATCGACCGAAGGTCCGGATACCGGACGAGTCATCGAGGCCATCTTTGCGGGCGACTCCCGCAACCAATTTCTGGGTGACCTCACTAGGCGCTCAGATGTAAGTGGCTGGGCTGCGCACGTTTTAGCCTTTGTTTCTATGTACCAAGGTGCCATGTTGGGGATATTGTTGGAGCAGACATATGAGATGAAGTCGATACAGAAGATATGACCTAAGACCAAAAACGAGGGATGGTAGTTCGGGACCGGGGTCCTCATATTTCCTATCTGAATTCGCTTGCTCTGGTGTTGCGTTGGCCATGGGCCATGGTCTCACTCAGTTTGTTTTCCTTTATTTTTTCTTCTTCTTTTTTTCTTTTGTTTTTTTTCTTCTCTCTCTCTCTCTCTCTCTTTGTTTGTCCGTCCGTCCGTCCGTCCGTCCGTCTGTCTCTCTGATTTGATTCCCCCTTCTCCAGCATCTATGGAGATCCCAGGGATCCTCCTGCTCAAGAAAACTCGGCTCAACGCTCCTTAGATCCCTGGCTTGTAGCGCCCAACCCTGGTTGGCGTTGAACAATTTTCAGAGGCATCCTTTCCACCAGACATTTTGGGCGTGTCTTAACATTTTCGATTACCCAACTTAGATATTTGGGCGCGTCGTACCATGTTCGATTACCCAAGGTAGGCGCGGACAATTCAGGGTTCAAGCAAGTAACCCTTGGTTGGGGTAAATGGGAAGCCACCCAACCCCATCAGCCACCGGGCTCGGGACGCTTAGTTGGGTATAATTTTAATAGGGAGCCACCTCAAGAGGGGTTGGGGGGGTATACGGTAGATCCCAAGCCACATGCTGTCCACCATTTCGGGTCCCCAATTCAATTCGTACCTATTACCGCGCCCCCATCTTGAAGGGACTGGGTTTTGTGTTGCCAACGTCGGAAGGGTAAGTCTACCTGTAGGGTCAGCAAAAGAAAATGGGACCGGGAGGGGAACTCGGGAACTCGCGTCAGGCTTCCTGAGGCAGGCCGACGCCCCCGGCCCTCCTGAGGCGAGACTGAGGGACGCGAGTGAGTCGGCACACGGGGCAGGTCGGCCCCATGGGTAACCCCTGAAGTTTGGCAGTTTGGAGTGCTTTCTGTTTGGAGTTTTGGCTCACCTTGCCTTTTGCTTTGGATTTGAACCCCCTGGTTCTTGTAGGCGGTAAATGGGAAAGCGCCCCATTCAGAGGAAAGCTGATTTTGGTCGGGTTTAAAGCGACGGTTTTCTTGGGGTTTGTTGGTTTTGAGACGCCCTCGGCGCAAGACAAACACAAAGACCCAAACGTAAGACTGACACAGAAGGACAGACATGAGACCGACGCAAGGCTAACATGAGGTTGAAGGGGAGGGTCGTCTACCAGGTGAACACTCAAAAACTGCTTTTGTGTCAAAATGGGGCGACCTCCCCCCCAACGAAATGGTTTTCTTTTCCAAACAACATGTTATAGATTGTAGGACCCCTTCCGGGCACCACTACGGGATATCGCGTCACAGTTGCTATTGGTGGTCAGGGAGACCCAAGGCAACTGTTTCTAAGAACAAAGCGCTTCCCTGTCTCCCCGGATGTCGTTTTTGGTCGATTCCTCCATCTGATTTCCGAGCCATTGAGCATCTTTCGTATCTTTCGACCGTCGGCGCTGCCCTAAGGAGTGGGAACCGCCTGCGTTTCCCTTCAACATCTCAAAAGGTGTGCACAGCCTATCTTAGACCACTCGCTTGAGTAGATTTGATTGGAAGGTTGTTGGTCTATGCAAGTCGATCAAAGATTGCTTTCCAGAACTTGGGACACTTTCATGGGATTCATCCGGGGCTGCCAGCATTTCCATGCCACCTGTACACCACGCCCGTTCTTTCGGCCCGTTCGAATCCGCCTAGCCAACTCGCAGATTGGGATGGAGCTGTGAACTCCAAGAAGTGGGCTTGCGTGTCCCCCCCCCCCTCCCTTTTCTTTTTTTCTTCTTCTTCTTCCACCGGAAGCCCCAGATTTGTCCAACCTTTTTTCTTCTTCTTTTCTCTTCTTTTCTTTTTCCGGAACATCCCTTTTGGGATTTTTTCAAGAGATGCCTTTTGGGGAGAACGCCCCATGTTTTGGGGGTCCGACTCCCTGAGAGGAACCCCGGTCTTTCGGAACAGTCAGCTTTTGGCTCCGCTTCGGGGTGCGGCTTGCACCCGTCAAGAAAAGCGGCTCCGTGTTCGGGTGCAAGCTTGGGGATGCCACCTGTTGTCTTTTTTGGAGGTTCTCAAAACGGACCCTCTTTGGACATGTGAAAGAGACACTCAAAGGAAAGCCAGGAGGTGGTTACAACCCCCCAGTCCTTCGAAGCTTTGCGCGAGGTGCCGCAAACCCGCCTCTTCCAGCAGAACCAGGAGAGGGTTTCTCAGAATGGTGCTCAAACCCCTTTTTTTTTTACGGCTTTACAGGGAAGCAACAAGGAAACCATCCAGTCTTAGGGTTCCCCTCAAAATGGTTTGAGAGACAAGCTCACTCCCCCAAATTGATTCTTGATGATTCAGTTCTGCCTTCAGCTACATCAAATTGATCAAAGCTAATGGGCTAGTTTGCAGATTATTTTTTGCTGGGAGACATGGTTTTCAATCCCCTTAGCGCGCCGTTTCGGGAGGTGGCTACTTTTTGATTGCTTGTTTCCGGGCTTGGGTTTGAATCGACATGGGAACCCAGATCATGAGAGTTCCCGATGGAACAAACAGCACTGTTACTGGACACGTGCCTTTTTGCAGGGGACCCCTACAACAGCTAGCTCTTCTTTTGTTTTCCCTTAACACCAGAAGAAACCAGGGGCAGCAACTCCAGAAGACGCGCCACCCACATGCAAAGGGACTCCTGCATCCGTTGGAAGCACTTCTTGGAAGCATGGACTACCCATAAAAGGTGCAAGCCGGTTTCCTTCCTGCCAACCCCTGGTTTCAAAAAAGGCTTCTAGCAAAAATGAGAGGCCATCCCGTCTTGGTGGCGGGGTGGTGGTGATAATCCTCGACCAGTACCTTTCAGGAGGTTCTCGAGCTTTGCCGCAGCCAGACGATCTTTCAATACGCGCCTCGGAGTTCAAGCACCGAGCCTTTTGGCCCTTAACGGCGTGTCGGGTTTTTGTAGGTTGGACCCTTGGACCCCCTCGAATGGTAGTTTTCCGGGTGGTTTTCCTACACGCACCACAAAAAGGGATGACACCAAGAAGGGGACGCCCAGTTGGTGGATCCTTAACCTTGACATGTTTTGCACAATGTGATTTTTCTCAGTCAACATGAGCTAACACTCTGTTGCACGTTGCACGGGAAACAATGCCATGGAACTTATTTGGGGAGATTAGTTCACGCGCCCACCGATCGATCCGCATCGCTTCTGGGCGCTCTCATTGCAAATTTCATTGGTGCTGGCAATGCTGGTCTTGGTCTCCACCCTGTCTCCATCCTGCTTGGAGGTTTGAGGTTATTACTTTTCTTCCGACAAATGAATGGTGCCCCATTCACCAAAGAGCACTTTCGCTTTGCAGGCCCTCTTTGAAGCGCGCAGTAGGCATAGGGGACGGGTTTGATATGATGGTTGTCCGTTGCAAGGGGCGAAAGAACGGCGTAGCATCAAGAAAGATACATTGGATTCCATTGACAGAGCGCATCCCAAACCAAACATGAGGCGGTAGAACCACAAGTTGCTTGAAATAAATGGGTTTGTCTCAAAATAGGGGATCTGATAGGTTGGTTTCCTTTCGGTGTCCCTTCAAAACCCAACCAAAAAGAAACGAGGGGGTTGCCCGTTGCCCCCCCAAAAGGATCACACACATGGGCAAGCGTATCTGATCCAACCCGGTCTGACAGACCATCGCCAGGCTTTTTTGCCATGAAACATGTCTGCTGGGTTTCCTTTTGGTTTTCCTCAAGAAACACCCCACAAACATAGCAGTCCTTCTGATGGGTTCGTCTGATTCGAGAAAAAAAATGGTTCAGCCGGGTTAGATTGCTTTCATCTCCATTTGCCCCATTTGCCAGGGAAACCCATCTATTTACCAAAGGGTCACCTATGCTCACACAGCTTGCCCTCGAACAAAGCGCCCAAGCCTGTCATGGCTTGGTTCAGAGTCCCCTTTGGGAAGCCTGGCGTGCGGCTCGCCGGTTTGCTGTGCTCCCTGAGAAGCCGCGTCTTCAATACCGGACCTGTTGCGGTTGGCATTCACTTTGGGAATAATTTTTACATTTTTTTCCCAACAGCTGAAAGCTTTGGGGTCTCAGCCCAGATAGGCTCCGGGGTGGTTCGGGGCGGCTCTAGGCAAGGTTCCACGAGGGTTCCACCAGGGTTCCACCAGAGTTCCACCAGGGTTCCACCAGGGTTCCACCAGGGTTCCAGAGCACCGCATGCTGTTGGGGATATCACCTGAGCTTATTGCTTGTTGCGGTTTAGTGGGAAATCCACCCACTTAACTGCTAACAATTGATCGTTTTAGAACATTGGTGCTGGGTAGAGTTTCAGCAACCTAAGCAACCACCAAAAAAGTGTTGCCCTATGAGCATGACTTAACAACTAGGTTTGAAAGTACCCTCACAACACCATTCGAAGTTCTATCTATTTAGGTTAGGTTGACAAAGAAACACAGGTCTCCCCCTTTGGTTGCGACCCTGCTCGGGTTTTTCCGCTTTTCGTTGGCTGGCGCTTCTTGAGTGAAAGGGGTTCGCCTTGAGAGAAACCCCAAGCCGGGCCCTTCCCCAAAAGGGCCGACTCTGCCCCAAGACTGGTCGTTGCTTCCCAAAACTCCCCTAGCGGCTTGCGGCTTCCGGCTTCGGGCCTGAAAGGTCCGAAAGGAGACAAAGGAATCGGTCCCGATTGATCGAAGCCACAAGGAATCGGTTCCGAGGGCGCTTCTTCCCCAGCTGAAAGCTTTGGGGTCGCCCAGATAGGCTCCGGGGTCCGGGGCAGTTTTGAGGTAAGGTTCCACGAGGGTTCCACGGGTTCCACCAGGGTTCCACGAGGGCTGCGGGCTGGTGCGAGCACTAAAAAGAGCACCGCATGCTGTTGGGGATATGACCCGAGCGATTTTTCCTTTTTTCTCTCTCTCTCTCTCTCTTTATGCATATGCTTCTATAAAACTCTCTATTTATGCTTTATGCTTCTACAAAAAACACACCAAAAAAAACAGGCTCTGTGTAACAATTTCTGTTGCTCTCTTTTCGGTCTCGCCGGCGCCGCTGATTCTTTTTTCCCCTGTGAGGTGCTCTTGGCGGTCCTGGCGCTGCTACTCTTCCGCGGTCTCGCTCTTTGGCCGCTGATTGGGGGTGTCCCATGGGCCGACATCCATGTTTTTCTTCTTCTTCTTCTTTTCTTCTTTTTCTTTTTTTCCCCCTCCTTTTTTTTGTGGTTGTTTTGTTTTTTTCTTATTCTTTTTGTTTTCTCCTATTTTTTCCTTTTCCTTTTTTCCTTCGATTTTTCTTATTTTGATCGGGTTTGGGTGAAGTAGATGGCGCTGGTTTCAGAGAAACAGGTGTCCTGTTGATCGGTTGGTTTGGTTGTCCAATGGGCCACTAATAAATATCATGGCTTTTTTTCAAGTTTGGTTGATGTTGGCCCAAAACAGACAAGAAACATGGGTGAAGTAGATGGCCCTGGTTTCAGAGAAACAGGTGTCCTGTTGATCGGATCGGTTGGTTTGGTTGTCCAATGGGTTAACATCATGGCTTTTTTTTTCCAACTTTGGTTGATGTTGGCCCAAAACAGACAAGGCACAGGGAGATTCGGGGTGATAGGTGGCCATTTTTGATTGCTTCGTTTGGGTGAAGTAGATGGCCCTGGTTTCAGAGAAACAGGTGTCCTGTTGATCGGTTGGTTTGGTTGTCCAATGGGCCAACATCATGGCTTTTCTTAGTTTGGTTGATGTTGGTCCAAAACAGATGGACCAGAAAACAGGGAGATTCAGGGTCATGTGTAACCTTTGGATCGGGTGTGGGTGAACATAGACGCCATGGCAAGAATGGCAAGGCCACATCACGCAGACGTCCCGATTTTCCAGGGACCGGCCGAGGTTCCGGTTCCTGTTGCAGGTTCCGGGTAGCGAATTTCTGGTATCAGAGGCTACAGACCCTGCTGACCTCCATAGTCTGGTACCCCTGTTGGAGTAGTTGGGCATATCTTAACTAGGTCCCCCAGCTAGGTGCCCTTTCTCACCTCTTTTTTGGTTGGGAGGGTTCCCCTGCTAAAATCGACTACAGAAAAAAGTTGGTACCCTTATTCCAACCTCTCTACTGGAGGTCCTAGAATAGCGGACCCCCGGAGTTGGTGGTTTTCCCTTTCCCTTTAAGCCAACCCCAAATCGAGTAGCCATAAAAAGGAAAAACAGACCCAGTTCTCCAAAGGTGTCCTTCTGATCGCTTAGTTTGGGAACAGAAACAGACGGGTTCCACTGGTTTAACTGGTTTATATTGGTTTTATGCCATCCACCGGGGACACCCATCTAAATTTATCACAAGAACACCCTGGGGCTTACTACACTTGCAACTTAAACAATAACAGCTTTTCTGACAAACCGGGACGTGGGGGCGGTGACGTGGGAGAAAGCGGGAGGGGTCCATGATCCCAGCCTCGCATCTCCAGGCTGTTGTGTATTTCCTGCTTGCTGCCAGCATTGGGCTGTTAGTGACACTAACCGTGGCAGTGTGCTCAAGCCAGCCAAGCCTCGTTGATCTCCAACGCACATCATGGAAGAAGAACACATCCTGGACGCATTGCATCACACCGTGGCGCGAAGCTACGTAGACCTGGAGGTGATACTCGAGGACCTGCATTTGGTGATGCTTAGCGGACGAAATCCCTTCTCACCACCTAAGAAACCATGGTTGAACCCATAACGTTTCTTGGTATTTACCTTGGGGGAATCGAATCAAAACATTCCAGGGCTTCTGAAAGGCGGTGCGGCGGTTGATGGATTTAACCCCTAACGTTGTTGGTATTTACGTTGGGGGCTCAAAACATTCCAGGGCTTCTAAAAGGTGGTGCGGTTGATGGATTTCACCCATAACGTGGTTGGTATTTACCCTTGCCTAATCAAACCCAAACATTCCAGGGCTTCTTAGGCGGCGCGGTTTATGGATTTCGCCACCCACCCGCGGTATGTCTCCACCCCTCGGCTTGGACTTTCCGAGCCCTGGGGTTGAGAAAAAACTGTCCGCCCAGACGGCGCCATCCCGCGCGGAGCTGATCGACGAGCCGCGAGCTGAGGGTGGGGCGGTCCCTCGAGGGAGAGGCGAAGACTGCGCGGGGGTGCGATGCTTTTTTTTTGTTTTCATAAGACCAACCAAAAAGGGGGGACACCTGAAAAATGATAGACCCGCATGACCACGGCGCCGGGATCATCACTCATTCTCTTCATCGTTCTCTTCAGATTCGCCGCCATCTTTTGAAAAGATGCCTGTCGGTTTTCCGGGACGGTACAGCTGAGGTGTCGAGATAGTGGATTCTGGTGGGTGTGGCAGTTCAAGAGCTATGGTTACGCAGGTTTTAGTCTTTGATTCCAGTTGCCAAGGTCCTATTTGGGTACATGTTTTTGAGCCACAGCCTGGCTTACATGCATTCGCCGGACAAATTCCAAACTGGCGGCACTTCTTGCTGGGCGGGACGGACATGTCAGAGCTGCAGCAGGGCACATGGCTCACGGAAAGGCATGCGCTGTGCCTGTCAACCATAGGTGTCCTTTTTGGTTGATTTGGTTTGGTGGTTCAATCAACTACCAGGTACACCGCCCATAGTAGCCCGTGTAATATCCGGTTTTTAGCTCCGGAGCAACCTGTCGAAGCTGCATGTTGCCTGGGAGCCGCATGATGAACTCTCTTTTCAAAAACCGTCGGGGGGAAGGGGTCCTTAGTCTGTTCTTCACCCAAAGCGACGAGACGTAAGCCAGACAAGCGACGAGACAAGACCCAACAAGCAGAAGCCACGCCGATGGAAGCAGAGCAAGGGCGCAGCAGATGACGACTCCAGGATGCACACCAGGTGGACCACAAGAAAGGAGCGTAGGCGCCTACCGAAAAGTCAAGCGGAAACCTATGTGGGCATACCGTGACAGCAGACACAAAGGACGAGATGGGGTCCGCTGGTTGGCATGCGACGTCCAGAAGAGAGTCCAAGTAAGGCAGCCAAACAGTGAAGAAAGGACCCAGCGCCGAGTGTCGCCAGCCAAACGCAGCAAGACGATGAAGGCAAACGCTAGACGAACGTCTTCTGACACCAAGCTACAGCAAAACAAGACGGCTCCGCACACTAACAGAGAACATCACACACCCCACAGAAACAGTCAAGCAAGCTCGAAGAAGTGACGTAATCATTTCCCCCCCCCCCCCCCCACCCCCCCCACCCCCCCACCCCACCACACCAAAAAATCAAGAAAGCACGAAAAAACACAGAAAACATGGAGTTCAAACACAAAAAAACAACAAAAAATGGAGTTCGTCCCACGGGCGGCTGTGGGCGGTGGTCCAACTACCAGGGCCATCTATTTTCCCAAAAAGGACTCCTATGCTGTCAACATGCGCCTTCGTAGCTCTTTTTCGTGGCGCGAGCAAATTTAAGAGAGGCTTCTTGGTTCACGCTGCCAATCTGAGCATTCCAATCCTGGGGTGGGGGTCTCATTCCACCAATCCAATCCTAGGGCCGGATGTTTCGAGATACCCAAAATGATCAGGAGATATCTCTGGCCCATGTCAAAAAACGCACTTTCGCCGACCTTTGGCAACCTGACATGTACGGACTCTTCAGTGGGCATCATTTGGAAAAACTTATGTCCGCCCAGCTTTGGGGGTGCTCCATCATTCCAGTTCCTGTGCAACCCCCCCGCAACTTTTCTGAGTATCACTTGTTGAGGGTTGGTCAATTTAAGCACCACATGTTGAGGGCCGGTCAAAAAAGCTGGTCCATTTGTTCGGTTGAATGGACCCAAATGGCCAGCTCGCCCAGAGCAGTTTTTCGTCTTAGGCCGGAGGCGCAATATCTTCGCGTGCTGCAGGAGTCGTTTGGGTGGTTTGCGCGACCCAAACGTCTTTCAAGATGCCCCCCTGTGGTCAAACGACCTTGTGATTTTGAGCACCGTAGGTGTTCCATTTCTTTGAGGGTCCGCATATGGTCGGGTGAAAGCTTTCCCTTAGCCGCATAAGCGGGAGGCCTTGGGGTCGATCATCTTTTTTGGCAAATCAACTTGAACCTTTACATGATCAAAGCCACCTTCAAAGTGGCGCGTTGCAAGGAAACAACCCCATGAAGCAGTCAAATTAATGACCCCAGTAAAGCCCGGGGTGCACCTGAGCAATGGCAAGTCCCGAAAACTTTTGGGCTGACTGTGGGAATGGCAAGAAATGAGGCCGAGAACGAGGAACATACGGTGGGTGTCAACTTAATATATTGCAATTAAACCAACCACACTCAACCACAATGGTTCTCAATCCCCTATGGTTTCCTTTAAGGGAATCCCCTTCCGGTTCATTCCCAAAACCATGGATCATTCCCTACTGCTCACCAGCAGGAAAGTTATGGTCAAGGGGAATCCTCGTTCCCTTCGCGATATGGCAGGATCCACCGTAGCCCAAAAAGCACATTGGTCACCCGCCACTTGCTTTACAGAGAGCTCACCGATCTGGAGCCAAATCCATCAAACGCATGGTAGAGTTTGTGTTGCTTGGGCTCAAAACGGCGGCTGTGTGTTCACAGATCTGCTTCACAGAGCGCTGCAAACTTGCCCAAGAACCGTGTTTTGGGCAATCTGTGGATACCCTTGTTGGTTGTGTTTTGAAGGAACGCCACAAGGAAAGCCGCCTTTTTTTTTTTTGGGGGGGGGTCCAACCTTCAAAAAGACACCCTGGTCCGACGTTTGGTTGGCAGTATAAACCTATCAGCGCCCTGACGTGTCGCTTTCAGAGGTGCGGCTTCAGAAACGTTGGGGCGGTCGTTGGCCTGGCAACATGGGACGCTTTCCGTGGGGGTTGACCATTTTGGTCCTTTGCAGGGGATCGCCACTCAAAAGATGGTATTTCCCACTGGGGGAACATGCTACCCATGGTCTTTCCACTGGGGGCTCTTCAGCAGGGCTCCGAAAAAAAGATACGCTTTGCAACCATTTTGAAACATGGTGCTTTTCCCACCAAAACAAAGGGACACCAGAGTTAACAAGTTGCAATGTTCAGGTTTATAATGTAAGGATCCCTGCTAAATGGAAGATTGATCAACCCCCCAGTTATGGTCATAGGAGTTCTGGGGTGCCCCGGCTAAGAGCCTCGGGCCTGGACTTTTGTGGTTGCTTTTTTTTGGAGACCCCAGACAAAATCAACCAGCCCTCAGAAGAAGACACTCTCGTCCGTTCTGGTGGTCCTTTGAAACCAGCAAACAACGAGAAAGAGAAGGCTCAACTGCTTTTGTCTGATCTGCTAGGTCCCCCAGCAGTGCCCTTTTACCCTTTTGTTTTTTAATTCGGGTGCCAACTTATTCTATCCTCTCTAATGGAGGACCTCTGGATTCCACGGTTTTTGGTGGTTCCACCAGAGTTTAGGGCTAAAAGCTAGCAAGAGAAGGCTCAACTGCTCTTGGGAAATGGATTGCGCGGATTTTGGCGGCTTGGACCGCCAGAGTTCAGGGCTCGCAGCATGAGAGGAGCGCGCCGCCTGGGAGAGCAACTACTCGCAGCTGCAGCAGCTGTGGTTCGATTGCCGCCGCCAGGCGAGGGCCGAGGGCCGAGGGCCGAGGGCCGAGGTTTGGCGACTTTGGGGTGAACTAGGTCCCCCAGTAGTGCCCTTGTACCAACTTTGGGGGAGGCGGGGTTGGTAGGCTAGGTCCCCCAGCAATTGGTGCCCGACCTCTCACCCCCTTTTTGGAAAGGGGAGGGCTCCCCGTGTCTAAAATAGACTACAGAAAAAGAATCGGGTACCAACTTATTCTAACCTCTCTTCTGGAGGACCTAGTGAAGGGCGCGGGCGCCTTTGAAAACTCCCAAACTGGGTCCGGGAGAGGCGGCATCTTTTCGGTCGAGCGCAGGTTTCAGTCCAGGTGTCCATAGGGCAAGCCATGTTGGGGTTACCCGATTTTTGACCCACAGCCATATTTTTGGTAGAGCCTAGGACAGTATGAAGCAGGCCTTGAGGCCCGAGCGGTGTAGTGCGCTTTCCTCAAACGTCAAGAGAACCTTGGGCACTGGGAGTTGGGGGCTGGGTCCCTACCTTCGACTTGGGAGAACTAGGTCCCCCAGCAATTGGTGCCCGTTCTCACCAACCTTTTTTTTTGGGAGGGTTCCCCGTGTCTAAAATAGACTACAGAAAAAGAATCGGGTACCAACTTATTCTAACCTCTCTACTGGAGGACCTAGAGAATGTGGGGCTTGTCTCAAGATGGCTGCTCAAATAAATGTACCAAATTGGGTTGCCTTGAACCAAAGCACAAATCTGATGAATGTGCCCTGGCTGATTAATTTTGAGTCACACACACACACAAATGGGTTGGGGTCAAACAACACAGAGGACACAAGTTGACTACAGGACATCCCCCCTCCGTTGTTGTTGGGTTGAAGTGTGGGGGGGCATGGGCGTTTTGCATTTCTTGGCCCCTTCACAAGGAACAACTTGTTTCTGGCTTCTAGGGTGTATGTTTCTCAAGGATTCTTCTCAAAACATTTGTCTCTTTCGTGGGTTTCAGAATAGGGGGCCTAAAAAAATGGCAGGTTTCCGTTTGGCTTTCCTTTAAATATGAACTGAAAGGGGGTGCGCCATAAAAAGGTGAGAGACCCTTAATCGACAGCCACTCAAAACGCGTTTATTCACCCTCGAGACCGTCGAGACCTTTCGCTTTTGCGGGGGTGGGGTGGGTGGGTGGGGGGGGGGTTTGGGTGGGTGGGGGGGGGGTGCTATTCCGTTCACCGACCAAGCACCGCAACCCCGATGCAGGCCTCTGCTGGGCCAAGCCCTTGCTTCACATGCGTTGGGAATTTCGCTGAATCATCATTCATGACTTGGCGGACAAAGACACGTCGGAAATTTGTGGCTGAAAAACGCCTGCAGTGGAAATTGGATTGGGCCGCTTGCGTGGCCACTCTTCACAAGCCATGGGGTGTGTCGTCCATCTGCCACTAGCGGATTCCTCTTGCCTTTCCCTCAGCGGGGAGCCGGCAAGTGAAGCGCCTATGTGATGCCGCTGACCTTTCTACCGTGGACAAACGGTCTTGAGTTGCGTCAGAAGCGGTTTGGTTTTCCGGAGTTGTTCTTGTCCCTGAACGACGCCGTTGCTTCCTACAACAACTTGCACGACATGTTGGCAACACCCAATTCACACTGGCGCGGACGCAAAGAGGTCCGTCCCTGAACAACATGTGGAAAAAAAAGCGCCACAGTCAGTTAAAGGCTAAAGGGAGTGCGCCAATTTGAGAAACTCCCATATGATGTTGGAGAGGGCCAAACGAGAGCTTCTGAACGGGCCAAGATGGCCCTTCAGGGGCACTCTGTATGGTTTGCATCATCCCCTCCAATGGGTGGCTTAGGAGTTTGGACCGGGACGCCAATATGGCGGTTTTCGGTTTTCCCTTTCGGCTTTCCTTTTACCTCTTTTCAAAAAGGGGAACCCTGAACCAGAACAGACACACCCTTAGGATGCCTTTTGTTGCATCCCAGCTGGTGCATCTTGTGGGGGATTCGAACAAACGAGTTTCCTTTACCCGAATTCGGGGACCAGGGACCTATCCACAGCATTAGAGACACCCATGACCCTGAGCAGTTTCAAACCCCGACCAAACGAACAAACGAGTTTCCGTTGACCCGAATTCTTGGCTGCGGCCTCGCTTCGTCTCACCCCAGCTTGCTTGGAGCTTTTTATCTGTGGAGTACCGAAAAAACAAACCTCGGGGGCTATGGTCTAAGCTACACGCGCGCGCACACACGCGTATCGCGTATCCCGTGATCGCGACTTCTGGTGAAGCAGAACCTCATTCTGATCGCATTTGAAGATTGAAGATGCCACTCCAGCCTTTGAGCCACCTTCCCATAAACATGTCTCGCCCCTGTTGCCTCCAAAAAGGCGCGCCCCCATAGTTGGGGGTGTTCAAAGTTTTTCGCCCAGCTGGCACTGGGTTTCCTTTGGCTGCCACAGAGCCGCGGCTGCCCTCCACGAAAAGACTCGACTGCCGACTTGTGGATAGGTGGATGCCATCCATGAGCCCGGGACTTGGCACTTGGGGTGATGAAGTTTTGGGCGTAGGGGTGGATTCCGATTCCATCGTTCTTTTCAAGAACCGATCGCTGTTTCCCTGGGTTTTTAAGATGGTTTCCTGAAAAGACGGATGCCTGGAAGGAATGGGGAAGGCAGCCCTAGAGTTGTTGGGCTCAATGTCAGCCAGGATTGCTTCCCTGACTACCGTTGATGGTTGCGAAGTCCATTTCGCGCGCGCATCCATTGAGACCATTGGTATGGATGGGAGAATCGAATCATTCCGTTGGGTTTCAGGACGGCGTCCACAGTAGGGGTTGAGTTTGATGCTAAAATCGTGGGCCACTGCAAGAGGCCTTCCTTTTTTGGGAGTCACCTAGTTTCAGGGCTCCTTAAAAGATACATTTTGCAACCATTAGAAACATGGCTGGCTTTTTCAACACCAAAATAAGAGGGGTTTCCCATTTACAAGTGGCAATGTTCAGGATGCATCCGGATCCCTGTTCAGCGAGCAACCTAGATTTGAAGGCCCTTCCTCATAAATCCGCTGTGGTTTCAAACATCGCCAAAATCCGACTTTTGAGCTTCCTCTTGTGCTTCAGGAGACACAGGGCGTTGTGAAGTGACGACATTTGAACGGCCTGGCCCAAACCTGCTACCTTCACTGTCTATTCTCCGCTGATGTAGCTCAATGGAGGGGTGTACATGGCTATGTGTCCAAGGCGGATTCTATAAATGCTGGGCTTCCTTTTATCCTTTTGGTTTCCCTCTAAACCAAAATGAACAGGGAGCCCTCAAGAAAGACACCCACAGACTAGGACAGTTGTGTGTGTGTGGTTGTCAGTCATGCTGCTCGGGTTCCTTGGGAAGGAGAGTGACACTGAGCCGGTAACGACAGTGGTATGCTCGTGCTCTCGAGATGGCTGTTTGTTCATATGGTCAGTTTGCGCAAGATTCCAAGCCATGCCAGATATTATCTTTGTCATAGGGCTACCACCATGTCATATTTACATCCGCCCCTTGAAAACATCGCGTTGTCATACACCAAGCTTGCCCCAGTTCTACACAAAGACACCAACAAATGCGCGAGTTTCTTGGAGGGTACCTTCTCTCAGGTTGGTTTTGAAGGACACCCAAAGGAAACACACCATCTTGGCCCCCCCACTGTTCTCCGGTGCTTTCGGCTTGCGTGCGAGGCCTGCCGCGAGCTGCGGAGGTCGCACAGAGGCGGTTCCCTTTTTTCTTTTTTTCTTAAATAGGTTTTTGGTTGGTTTGGTGGTAGTTTTTAGTGGTTTTTAGGGAAACTAAACCAGAAGTGGTGAAAGCTTTTGAATGTTAGCGGGGATCAGACACCGACAGATTGGCAGTTTGAGGTGAGTGACATCGAAGAACTAGGGTTCCTCGTTTTGGTTGACCCCAAAAAGACATAAACCCAGCCGTTCATGCGTTCCAAAAGGTGGGTTTCAGTCCTTGCAACGGTGAGTGGGCTGGAACCCTGGACAAAGCCAATGGGAACTCCGAACTCCGGACTAAGCAGAGCCCTTGGCCGGGAAGTGTGCCCTTTCTGGGATGGGTCATTCTTCCCCCCTATGAATTACAGGGAGATTTATCGATCCGGGGTCAACCTTAGGTGGGTCTAGTTGATTTCATGGGGGTGCCCCATAAAATCTTTAGATCTGGAACGGACGGTGAGCCAGGGTTTGACCGCACCCGGGCAAGCGAAGGTCGAGGTTTCAGTCCCGGCCCTTTGCCCAGAAGGTTTCAGATTGGTTCCAGTCTTTTTGCCAGCGCCATCTCTGTTTTAAAAGGGCATATAGTTGCCTCCCACATGAAGAGGTTGTCTTCCCCACCAGCGTGCTTGCGGTGAGTGGTTGAACTAACCGTGAGAAGGTAAAAATGGTGCAGGAGGTTAAGTGTTAAGCCTCTGCAGGTATTGAGTGGTGACAAACAGGTTCTTCAACTTTTTTGAGCCACATTCCTTTTTAACTTGGAACCACCAACCTTGGACAGAACAAGTCTCTGATTCTTTTTTTTTGGGAACCACCAAGTGGTTGGTAGACAGAGCATTCTTTGTCTGGCAAATATCCACCGATGTCCCCCGCTTTCTCTTTTCGGGCGTTAAAAAAAAAAAAAACAACAACAAAAAACAACAAAAAACACCCCTTGCTTTTTTCATGTCCACCACCCTTAAAAAGCCACAACACCCCTTTTTTACACGTGCACCCTTCACAAACAACCAGAAACAAGAAAAGCAACAACCACCAAAAACACAACAAACAAACAGACACCACCCATTTAAAGCCGACCTCCCAGCGCTGAAAATCCTTTTTTTTCCTTCTCCCGCTTGTGGCTCTGGCACGCCAGGGTTGTACGGCCCGCCTGGCGAAGCTCGAGGCCTTTCGGCGCGCTGGATTTGGGCGACTCGTCTCGCTGGAGTTGGAATTTTCTTTTGGGGAGCTCCCCCCCTTTGGCCCAACCCCCCCAAACCCCCCGAGTCCCCCCCAAGGAAAAGGGCGATGGGTCTTTGGGGTTTTTGGGCCAAGGGGAGCACCCTCCCACCAACTGGCATGGAAGTGCAAGCAGGGCTATTCCAAGAGGAAGGTCGTCTTTCTGCGAGGGGTCTGTGCACTTCCATGTTAGCTGGTGGGAGGGTACCACGGAAAGAAAAGGAGAAGAGACACAGGAATGTGAGTAATGTTACATGTGATCCGGATCACTTTTGTGGGTCATGTTTGCCCCCCGCCCCCCGTTCGTGGACTTTGAGTGAGCACAGGGCTCAGTGCAGCGAATGCATTCTGGCACACCAAGGGCGGCAAATGCCTGCAGGGGATGAAATGTAAAACTGACCCTTCTCCTGAATGTTGACCCTCAAGCTGTATTTGGGTGTGGGTCAAAAAAGGGTACCCAAAATGGATCCCTGGTACATGGAAACATGGACTAAAGCCCTGCGGTCCATATCCTGGTGGCTTAATTTTGACCCATACCCATTTGAGGGCTCCAATCTCCTTGAAAAACACCCACATAGTTGTTCGATGCCCAACCCTCATGCTGACCTTTTCTTTTTTTTGACCCCCCAGTTATTCCTTGTTTGACTTGCCCAAGGGCATCCTCGCTCAAGGTCTTCCCCCCAAAAGCCCCTTGTGCTGAGTGAACACCGGAAGACTGTGGTAAGTCGGGACCCGAACGGGCTGCCGATTTGAGGAAGTGGTCCTCTGTGATTTGGGTATGATCTTTGGTCCCTTTGTGTGTATCACAAAGGCAGGCTCGATGCTTTTGGTGTGCGAAACGTGTTCTTTTTTTATGCTTTTGGTGTACAAAGGAAGACTGTTTGAGGCTCCATGGACTGACTCGAAACGGATCGGTGATGGAATTTGGACCCCCACATGGCGAAGTCCCCCAACTGGGTGACCCAAAAAGGGATTGCCACGGTGGGTTCGTCAAATGGGACCCCGGATAAAATGGGCTTCATTGTCCTTTTGGCCTCCCGTGAACGGGTCTTTTGAAGGTGGTTTCCCTCCAAAAGCCCACCCACTTCCGACCTTAAATCGGACCACACACACAGAGCCTCAGAAAGGGTCGGAACTTAGGGGTGGCTTCCATTTCCATTCTTTCCAGGGATCCGAATCTTTCCAGGAAACCCGGCGGAAGCAGCGGTTTCTGGCCCCACGAGCCACGCCGGGTCAGGGCGACTACGAGAAGCTCGCGGATCAGTGCGCGAAACAGGAGGACGGTGTTGAACCAAGGTGGGTTATAACCATGGAAAGGGGACGATCGCCCCAGTTACACCAGCAACCGTGGTCTCAGTTCTTGGGTGGTCGGCCAAGGTAGCCAGTCGTGTTACAAGTCCCCACAAGTGAGGTTCACCTTGTTATAAGGGGGTTGTAATCCAAGTGCAAACCACTTACTATCCTAGTGGAGCACCTGCCCGAGTAATGTTCACGCTGGATAAAACTCTTGCTGATTAATATGGGGGGTGTCCCTGGTTTTAGTGGAGATTTGTCGCTTTTGGAGGGGAACACCCCAATACTAATACTAATAAACAGGGTCTCTTAATCCGGGGTCAACATTAAGTTATCACCATTGGTAAGGGGACGACCCCAGTTACACCAAAAAGGGTTGTGGTGGCTTCCCTTTCACCGGTGCTAAAAGGAAACCTGCCATTCCTCTTAAAGACGAGCCACATAAGGGAGCCACGTGAAAAGTGGTGGACATGAAGCCTTTACCGCACTAAGGGGTCCGGGACCGACGGTGCTAATTGTTTCTTGTTGCCCGTGTCCCCTCTAGGTCCCCCAGTGCCCTTTCTCACCCCTTTTCTGGTTGGGAGGGTTCCCCTACTATAATAGACTACAGAAGAAGAAAGTTGGTACCAACTTATTCTAACCTCTCAAATCTGGAGGACCTCGCCCTTGTTCTATTCTCGGACCTCTCGGAGCTCCGAGAGGCGTCTCTTTCATTCCTTCGACCTTCGGGTGAGCCATCCGGTTCCTTCAATTCTAGGTCCGTTGGTGTGGCCGCGATGCCAAATTCAACCCACCGATTGTCTCAACTTTTTGCGGATCCAGATCTGGACAGCTCACAGCTTGTGGGAAGCGGATCCCTTGGTTTACCTGCAACTCTCTCGGAAAGTTGGGCTCTAGCTGGCTACCGAGCTTGCCTCATTCTGAAGAATGGAACGCAGGTTTCCCCGACCCACTGCTTGTGACTTGAGGCTTTCCGGGGCGACCCCTGGTCCGTTTCCCTGCTGCAAAGTTTATGGCCATGGGTCAAAACCCCGGTTAGCCCCCAGTGAACATCCCAACCCCCACTAAAATAAGCTCTAAAATGGGTGGTGCACCTACCCCAAAATGGTACCGTTGGTCTTGACCCACAGCCATGTGAGTTGAAGTGAGGATGACCTTCGCTGGACATCTGGGGGTGGGGGAGTTCTGTCGGAAGCTCGAGCAGAGAGGCGGGATTCGTAGCGAACCACGCGCGGGATGACCTGTAGGGAGGAACCAGAAGGACGTGGTTTTTCCTAGTTTGGTTTAACCATGTTACAAGTTTTGGTTCAACCATGTTACAAGTGTTGGTTTAACCATGTTACAAGTTTTGGTTCAACCATGTTACAAGTGTTGGTTTAACCATGTTACAAGTTTTGGTTCAACCATGCTACAAGTGTTGGTTTAACCATGTTACAAGTTTTGGTGTAACCATGTTACAAGTTTTGGTTCAACCATGTTACAAGTTTTGGTGTAACCATGTTACAAGTTTTGGTTCAACCATGTTAGAAGTTTTGGTGTAACCATGTTACAAGTTTTGGTTCAACCATGTTACAAGTTTTGGTGTAACCATGTTACAAGTTTTGGTTCAACCATGTTACAAGTTTTGCTGTAACCATGTTGCAAGTTTTGGTTCAACCATGTTAGAAGTTTTGGTGTAACCATGTTACAAGTTTTGGTTCAACCATGTTGCAAGTTTTGGTGTAACCATGTTACAAGTGTTGGTGTAACCATGTTACAAGTTTTGGTTCAACCATGTTACAAGTTTTGGTGTAACCATGTTACAAGTTTTGGTTCACCCATGCTACAAGTTTTGGTGTAAGCATGTTACCAGTTTTGGTTCAACCATGTTACAAGTTTTGGTGTAACCATGTTACAAGTGTTGGTTCAACCATGTTACAAGTTTTGGTGTAACCATGTTACAAGTTTTGGTTCAACCATGTTACAAGTTTGGGTGTAACCATGTTACAAGTTTTGGTTCAACCATGTTAGAAGTTTTGGTGTAACCATGTTACAAGTTTTGGTTCAATCATGTTACAAGTTTTGGTGTAACCATGTTACAAGTTTTGGTTCAACCATGTTACAAGTTTTGGTTTAACCATGTTACAAGCTTTGGTGTAAGCATGTTACAAGTTTTTGTTCAACCATGTTACAAGTTTTGGTGTAACCATGTTACAAGTTTTGGTTCAACCATGTTACAAGTTTTGGTGTAACCAGGTTACAAGTTTTTGTTCAACCATGTTACAAGTTTTGGTTCAACCATGTTACAAGTTTTGGTGTAGCCATGTTACAAGTGTTGGTTCAACCATGTTACAAGTTTTGGTGTAGCCATGTTACAAGTTTTGGTTCAACCATGTTACAAGTTTTGGTGTAACCATGTTACAAGTGTTGGTTCAACCATGTTACAAGTTTTGGTGTAACCATGTTACAAGTTTTGGTGTAACCATGTTACAAGTTTTGGTGTAACCATGTTGCAAGTTTTGGTGTAACCATGTTACAAGTGTTGGTGTAACCATGTTACAAGTTTTGGTTCAACCATGTTACAAGTTTTGGTGTAACCATGTTACAAGTTTTGGTTCAACCATGTTACAAGTTTTGGTGTAAGCATGGTACAAGTTTTGGTTCAACCATGTTACACGTTTTGGTGTAACCATGTTACAAGTTTTGGTTCAACCATGTTACAAGTTTTGGTGTAACCATGTTACAAGTTTTGGCTCAACCATGTTACAAGTTTTGGTGCAACCATGTTACAAGTTTTGGTGTAACCATGTCACAAGTTTTGGTTCAACCATGTTACAAGTTTTGGTTCAACCATGTTTCAAGTTTTGGTTCAACCATGTTACAAGTTTTGGTGTAACCATGTTACAAGTTTTGGTTCAACCATGTTACAAGTTTTGGTTCAACCATGGTACAAGTTTTGGTGTAACCATGTTACAAGTTTTGGTTCAACCATGTTACAAGTTTTGGTGTAACCATGTTACAAGTTTTGGTTCAACCATGTTACAAGCTTTGGTGTAACCATGTTAGAAGTTTTGGTTCAACCATGTTACAAGTTTTGTGTAACCATGTTACAAGTTTTGGTTCAACCATGTTAGAAGTTTTGGTGTAACCATGTTACAAGTTTTGGTTCAACCATGTTACAAGTTTTGCTGTAACCATGTTACAAGTTTTGGTTCAACCATGTTAGAAGTTTTGGTGTAACCATGTTACAAGTTTTGGTTCAACCATGTTACAAGTTTTGCTGTAACCATGTTACAAGTTTTGGTTCAACCATGTTAGAAGTTTTGGTGTAACCATGTTACAAGTTTTGGTTCAACCATGTTACAAGTTTTGCTGTAACCATGTTACAAGTTTTGGTTCAACCATGTTAGAAGTTTTGGTGTAACCATGTTACAAGTTTTGGTTCAACCATGTTACACGTTTTGGTTCAACCATGTTACAAGTTTTGGTGTAAGCATGTTACAAGTTTTTGTTCAACCATGTTACAAGTTTTGGTGTAACCATGTTACAAGTTTTGGTTCAACCATGTTACAAATTTTGGTGTAACCAGGTTACAAGTTTTGGTTCAACCATGCTACAAGGTTTGGTGTAACCATGTTACAAGTTTTGGTTCAACCATGTTACAAGTTTTGGTGTAAGCATGTTACAAGTTTTGGTGTAAGCATGTTACAAGCTTTGGTGTAACCATGTTACAAGCTTTGGTGTAACCATGTTACAAGTTTTGGTTCAACCATGTTACAAGTTTTGGTGTAACCATGTTACAAGTTTTGGTTCAACCATGTTACAAGTTTTGGTTCAACCATTTTACAAGTTTTGGTGTAACCATGTTACAAGTTTTGGTGTAACCATGTTACAAGTTTTGGTTCAACCATGTTACAAGTTTTGGTGTAACCATGTTACAAGTTTTGGTTCAACCATGTTACAAGTGTTGGTTCAACCATGTTACAAAGTTTGGTGTAACCATGTTACAAGTTTTGGTTCAACCATGTTACAAGTTTTGGTGTAACCATGTTACAAGTTTTGGTGCAACCATGTTACAAGTTTTGGTGTAACCATGTTACAAGTTTTGGTTCAACCATGTTACAAGTTTTGGTGTAACAGAGGTTACCTTTTGTCCTGGGAAAGGCAATTTGCGGCCCAAAAGGTGATGTTTGAATCACACAAACAGATTCTGAACTCAGCGGCTTCAACTCGGGAGAACCGGAATCAAGCCACCATGTTTCAACCAAGTCATCGCGCTATGGGAGCCATGGCAAGGCCAAGAAATCAAACGGGTCACTTGCTTGGATTGAAAGGAAGAGTCAACGTACAGGAACTTCCCAAAACCATTCCCTTTCAGTCATGGCAATGTTTCAAAGTTCGGAGGGTTCTAACAACTCATTCCATTTTGAGGCTTCTAGGCTAACAGCCCATGTTCCAACTCATTTGGAGGCTGTCTGACGAGCATAGGTGTCCTTTTTCAGTGGTTTTAGTTAGACATTGATGGGTTCCACTGATTAAGCTGGGCTTTCCATTTATCTTGGGGGGGGGGTTGGTGGGCAGGGGGCGAACCCATCGATTTTTACCCAAACATCCTTTTGGTGCCCCTTAAACGGCCAACTTTGAACAGGGTAGCCACTCGAAAAGAAAAAACCAAACAGGAGGCGTTCTTCCCCCCATGTTGTGTCGGTGTCTCATGTCCAGCTGAAACCTGGTTTGGGTTTATTTGGGAGGTGGTTTGGGGCAATTTCCCTAGATTGTCATCCCAAATCGGAAAATCCTCAGAGTTGGCATAATCGATAGGGCATAATCGGAGAAAATCTAAGGTATAATACCCCAAATCGGAACATCCCAAGTTTTTCTTTTGAGGGGAACGTCCCTTCTTCTTTTCATTGTTTAGGGGAGGCCAAATGGACAGCCCCAATTTGTTTCGTTTTTTCTTAAAGGGTTTGGGGGGGGGGGGATCGTTTTTTTTTGGGGGGGTGACGTTAACCAAATCAGGTGGGGTTGGGGTTTTGTTTGGGGGGGATGACTCGGTTCCATGCTGCGAAGGTCGCAGGCCTTTGCAGAGCTTCAGCTCGAGGTGCCCCGCCTGAGGCGCTCTCGATCGCGCGCGCGCTCGAGCGCGCGAGCGCGCGCGATGGGGGCGATGGCGAGGGTGGGTTTTTGGAGGCCTTGGATGGCTGTGGCAAGCCCGGGCATCCGATTCCGCGGAAGCTTATTTTTGTCTTCTTCTTTCTTTTCTCCCCGGTTTTTGGTGGGTTTGGTGGATGTGCGGTTTGTTTTCTGGTTGGTTTTGTAGTTGTTTTTTTTCTTTTTCGGTTTTTTGCTGGTTTGGGGGGGGGGGGGGTGGCCCCTTTTTTGGGGGCCCTTGTAAGCGGTGGGTGGGACGCGGGGGGTGGAGGTAAATAGGGCTAGGCGTCCTTTTAATGGCTGTGGGTCAAAACCAATGGTACCATTTTGGGGTAGGTGCACCATTGGGATGTTCACTGGGGGTACGAGATTTTGATCCACGGCCAAATGGGCAAACTACTGGTTTAGATCGGTTTAGATTCTAGATGGGTTCCATCCATTTATCCGTTGACCCGGCTCTCTATTTCAAAGTGGTGGTAAGCACCCCCTCACAAACGACTCGTAAAAGAATCTAGGTCCCCCAGCTAGGTGCCCTTTCTCACCCTTTTTTGGTTGGGAGGGTTCCCCTACTAAAATAGATTGCAGAAAAAGTTGGTATCCTTATTCTAACCTCTCTACTGGAGGACCTAGGAATACTTCAACATGCAGCCCTCTCGGGATTTTGTGGATGGAGAGGCGTTCGGAGGCCTTAGCTTTCTTCTCAAAATGGTGTCGAACCGCTTTTTTCTGGATATCTTTCAAAAACAAATATTTGGGGTACCCTAAAAAGGACAGACCCAGCTGGGTGTTTCTTTTTTTAATGCTTGTTCTGTCCACTTCAAGTCGGGAACAAGCAACAAACCACACCCAATGGCTCGCAGCCATCGGTGCTCAGGCGCGACGTCACGAGTTGCTCACACATCCCGGCAGTCAGGTGTGCGTATGAACATGTTTCTGGTTTTTCTGACGGGTTCCATTTGGCTCGGATCTGCTTGCTCCCTGCCCACCACCAAAAACAGAGCAACCGCAACCAAACCACCAAACTTTCGAGATGTCCCCCTTCCGCCTTTTCGGGCGAAAGAAACGAAAAAAACCACCCCCCAAAAAAAAAGAAGAAAAAAAAGAAACAAAGGGGAAAAAAAAACACAAGCAGCACGTTTTCGCAGCCTCTTTGGTCCTTCCTCGCTCGCCTTGGCTCGCCTTGGCTCACATGGCGGTGCTGTTTTTGGACGTGGACGGGGTCCTGGCGACCTCCAAGCAGCTGTTGGACCTGGACCCGACGTCACACGTCCGGCCCAAGCAACCAGTTTTTTATTTATTTTCTCTCCCCCTTGTTTTTCCCTTTTTTTACCCTCTTTTTTTGTATAGCCGGGAAAAAGCTGTGTGTTTGAGTTGTTCTGTTCTTCTTTCGGCGTTGTTGTTTTGTTGGGCGGTGCTTTGGTTAGAGATAAGAAAGAGATGGGAAATGAAGGTTTGAGTCGTGGGGCGTGAGCCCCAAAATAAGCAGCGAAACGAGCTCATTGACTTGTTCAACCCCTAAATTCACTGGGAAAATTAAGCAACACTGGCCGAAGGGTGGGATTTCACCCTCAATATTTAGTTGGCGGCCTTTTTTTGTCAGGATTGGGCTCCCTGTGATTTGCCAACAGCTATCCAACAGCGGGTTCAGCGGGTTCCTGATTTTTGAGACAGTTTCAAACACATCCACCCATGGTAGTTGTCCTTTTGGTGTCCCTTCAAACTTCGCGCGGCAAAATGGGCCTGGAGAGTTTCCTGGTTGACATCAGGTTGCCCTTCGGTGTGCATTGGTTCTGCGGATTTGGCTCGCCGAATCGACGCGAGCCCACCGAATTTTTGACCCCTTTCGCGGCGTTTTTTGTAGGGCATCCCCCTTGGCGTAGCGGTTTTCCTTTTGGGGCTTTACAACCAGCAAAGGGGATCCTCATTTCTTTTGCCAACCCTTCTGAACCCTCCCAATGAACCTTCCCTGAAGGCTGCCAGATTTCTGGGCCGAGAAACCCCATAGCGGACTCTCCCAGATCCACACGGGTCACTTGGCTCTACGGGAGGCCGACAAGGGGTTTTTGGTTGGAAGGAGTTCTGATCGAAGGCTTCAGATCAAATCCCGGGCAGGATCCAAAGAACCAGAGTGAGGCTCACTTGTGACTGATTGAAACCAAAGTGCATCATCTGCGCATCATTATTTTGTGGTTTAAGCTCACCGATTCGGGGGTATAGCGAGCTCACCATGCCTCTTGGGGATCTTCCAGCTGACCGTGCACGGACGAGGCACACCGAAAGGAAGGGAAAGGGATCCCTCAGCTTCAGCTTTTGGAACTTAGAAATCCCAAGACGATTATTTTAGTTTTTCTCCCCCAAGAACCAACAACTCATGGATGGTTTTTTCCCCACCCGAATTCTGGGGTCCCCCCCCCAACAAGAAAACCGGCACCACCGGAACCGCCGGCCCCCAAACCTTCTTGGCCTCTCGCTCGCTGGGCAGGACGAGCAGGGCCTCGTGGCCTTGGACGTGGGCTGCGTGCGGCGCCTGGCGCGCCTGGTGGCGATGTCCAAGGCGCAGGTGGTGGTGAGCAGCACCTGGGGCAAGGAGCGGGCCCCGGGGTCTGGGGCGCGAGGGACGTACAAGGTACAAAGCAGATGGTCGACCAAAATGCAGGTACAGAAATGCGGATGCACAAATGATATGCATATATGCATATGTATATATTATGCATGTGTATATATATATATATATAGTATGCACATATGCTTCTCAAAGTCGGGACCCGAAAAGTGGCTGGCTTTCCTTTTCGGTGTCCATTTCAGCCAGCCAAAAGGCGCAGTCCTATGTTGAGACACCCATGTATATACGTATCTGTCTATCTAACCTAATCTAATCTAATCTACTCTACTCTAATCCTATCAATCTGTCTATCTATCTATCTGTCTATCTATCTGTCTGTCTATCTATCTATCTGTCTATCTATCTATCTATCTGTCTAGCTACCTGTCCATCTATCTGCTATCCCCCATGGACCTAGGTGTTTGTTTTCTATCAGTGATTTTCCAGTGTGTTATTTTTTTTGGTAGTATTGATTTTGCGGCAGAATGGGGTGGGTGCCCTATATATATATATATATGTACACACATACATATGCACACGGAATGTACGCGATGATGCCACCATTTGCCATCTATCTCAGGAAAATTGGGACACACTAGTGTTCTTTTTGTTCGCGATTCATGATTTAAGATCCAGTAATCTGAACACTTGTTTGGGAATTTTGAACCTTGAACCTTTTGTTTCTTTAATAGTGCTGTCCCAAGACTCCAGGTCACAACATTTTGGACTTGCAGCATCAATCAGGCAGGCAAAGAGGGCATTTTCCAAGCATCAAGTTGAGGATGCTGACTTACAAGATAAATGTATTGTTCGATATTCATCCTCGACACAACCTGAGCAACTGCTGAAAAACACAGCGCTTTAGAGCATGTAGTGCCAAGAGACAGCTCCATCTTAGGCACTTTTCGGTTTTTGGCTTGGCTCAGTTCTTGCTTGATTACGTTCACATGGAATTAAGTACTGTAGGGAAATAGCTGAATTTGATACCAGTTTTATTTTCATCGGGCAATGTCAATAGTCGTTTTCAACGATCGTGGTGTATTCAAAATGAACATGGATCTGCAGTTAAAGTTCAATTTGGTTTGAACGCGGAACTGTCTGTTAAGTTAGATATTCTTCCCATGATTGATTCTCAATAGATGTTAGTGACAATGATGAAATCGAATCAGAGAAGCGCCACATAATGTTGACAGGAATTGCGTGGCAAGTAGCAATCTAAATAGGAATTAGTTCTTTTCCCCCAAGTCAATGGTTTGCCGAGTTTCCCTGCAAGACAGAAACTGTAAACAAAGCAGCCCTAAACACGCCCAACAGCACTCTGGATGTCAGCCCTCTTCGCATAAATCAACCACAAGACCCGCCATGAAGTCTACTCCAGCCGAACCCCTCTAAACTAAAGCAGCCCACAGCCACCCCCAATGCCCCAACCCGGAACGCCCTGATGTTTCGAGCATGTTGCCAGCTCGAACAGAAACCAGTGCTAGCCCTTTGCTGGTGGTTTGAAAGGGACACCAAAAGGAGACTCCAGAATTGTGGGCCGATTCCTTCAAAAAGACACCCAATTGGGTGACAGTAGATGCCATTGGAGTTGTGGCAGCTAGTTTCGCCCACCAAAGGACAATGTGTGTAGCACCCGAAAATACACCCAAGCTTAGAACTTTCAACGGTTTTCCTCCTGCCCACGTTGCCATGGAACCGATGTTTCGGGGTCCCGGTTTAGATGATTTTCCTTTACAAGGGGGCCATGTCTTTGGTGGAAACAGTCTAAATCTCATGGAGGGTGTCTTTCTCTTTCTCTTTCTCTTTCTCTTTCTCTCTCTCTCTCTTGGTGTACTCCTTTGATGTCGCTGGCCCGGCTGAAGCCCTTCATCTTTCCGCAGGACCCAGCACTCTACGAGCACCTGCTGAGCTCCTTGCAGCGGCTGGGAGGCGTCGGAACTCTCCCCCGAAACGACACGAAGAAACCAAACTAGATGGCACCTATGCTTGCGGAGCATGGTAATTGGTACTGGTTTAGATGAGCTTTATTCCATGTACCAGGGCCAGCCTTTTTTTTTTCCTCTCCAAAAGGCTACCTATGGCTCGAAGGTTGTGGCACCAGGTCGAAGGAACAGATTTGGTAAGGAGAGCCCAGAAGAAGGTTCTGTCCTACTTCTTCTTTGGGGTTTGGTCTGGTCAGTGGGGGAAGTCTTTGAAAGCGCTTTTCTTCCGCAACAAGGGGAGGCCAAGTGGAACCAACCATTTTCGGGGCCCTATTTTCACACAGCCCCCCCTCCCCCCTACCCGCACAACAAAAAGGTGGGCGTCCCTTTCATTTCCCTTTAAGCCTCCTGAAAGCCCACCCAACAGGGGGTATTGGTTTGGGATATCGGTTTTGGGCTTGGTTTCAATGGGAAGCCGAGACGAAACCAACCATTTCGGGGGTACCCCTATTTTCACACAGGCCCAAGATATGGAGTTTGCCTCATAGGCAGCACCCCCCCCAAGAAAAAATAAAGACAACCAAAAGAAAACCTTTAAACTCCCTTGACACTAGCCCAAAAAGGGACTCATCCACATGAGCATTGAGAGAACAAAAAGGCACCCCCCAAACTCAGGCGACTCCCTTGGGCGCACGGGCTGGTCCAAATGGGTCCATGAAGTTCCTCTAAGTTTCGAAACCCCCAAAGCAGGCACCAAGGGCCCAAACGTCATTTTGCCCCCTCCCCCCAACAAGCCCCCCCCATCCCAATCCCAATCCCAACCGTCCCCCTCGCATGCCCCCCGCCCCATCCCCCTTGCGGCGACGCGCCAGGGGACGCGCTGCGCAATGCCGTGGTGGACGTGACCCCGCGCGGGTCGCTGGGACGGGGCTTCGAGATCTTGCAGTGGCTGGAGGCGGGAAGCGACTCGGATGCGCTTCGCCCGGAAAACGGCGGGCGAGCGACGCGGAAGGAACTTTCTCTTTCTCTCCTTCCGCTGTTTGGGGGGATGTAGTTGGATTTTTTTGGAAGATACGGTTTGCTTTTTGGGAGAAGTTTGTTTGCTTAGTGGGATATGTTTTTACTCGCGTAGAAATGAACCGAATGAACCCAAATGGGGGGGGGCATTTCTCAAAAGGAGTTTCCTGTACAAATGCTGGTTTCTTGGGTTCCACGTCAATCTGTAGGGGATCAGATGATTTTTTTTTGACATCTTGTTTTTCATTTGTTTCTTCCGTGCAGTTTGTGTTTTGTTTGCAAGATGTTGTGTTTGGAAAGTGCTCTAAGGTTTACGTGGATGTCTGGCCTGTGGCGTGTAACCCAAAAACCGGTTTGTTTCTTTTTTTGATTTGCTCCTGGTTGGTTACAAACCAAAAGAATATCGATTTTCTGAGCTGCAAAGAGTGGCGCCGCGTACCCTTGGGTATGTAGAAAGGTATTTGTTGGAGTGCCGGAAGAAGGCAGTAACCTTTCGCCCCCTTGTTTTTTGTTTGGACGGATCCCCAAAGAGCTTACATGGCAAGAGGGGGTGTCCTTTTTTTGGGGGGAACTTCTTTTGGTATCCATTCAGCACGATCCCAAAAAGGGGTACCATGGTATCCTCAAAACACACATATATATATATATATATATATATGTACCAGTCCCTGGGCCACGTACCCCCCCCCCCCCGTGAGGCCCACTGCCCCAGGTGCCTATCCCAGAAGGGAACTGGTACCCTGTGGTAGTAGAGGTCGTTGTTGGTCCCTGGATCTATTCCGGAGAGAGTCCAATATGCCAATATGGATGATTGGAGGATGGATTGTCCCTGGTGGATTGTCTTGTGGATAATCCTGTAAGCGGCCTGCAAAGGTTCTTTTGCTTCACGCGATCATTGATGATACAATGATATGCACAAAAGGGGCCTTGAGCCAAATGGTTGCGGGAGATCAACTGGATTGGGAAACAACCACAAAACAGACACACATTTCTTTTGATCTCCAGCACTAAGTATGAAATACTATTGGCTTCATGGCCTTTGGCCGTAGCCTTTGATGTATGCCGTAGCCATGCTGTGTGCCGTAGCCATGTGTATTAAAAATGCCGGATTCATCCTCTTTTCTGCTCGGATGAAATGTCTTGGCTTTCGAAATGGAAAACACTATGTACTGCTTCTTTTCGAGATACCTAGATGTATCAAAAGGTGATGTACAACGCTATGTACACGAGGGACGATTGTAAAACTATTGGTCTCTCACTCATGGTATAGTCTTGTAGACGGCGAGGATCAATTATGTGAATTGAGTTCGTGGTGCTGAACGTATGAATCTTCATGGTCAGTCGGATCGACGATACCATCGACGGCTGCTGTCGGATTGACTGCCATAGTCTCCATAATCATTCCAGGTCGAGTTGCTATAGTCCTTCCACTGCTTCTGACGTCCCCACTGCTTGTTGTAGTCCTTGTACTCCTGCGTGGTCCAGGGTTGCTTCTTCTTGATGTACTCCTGGTATCTCTCAGCGCTGCGTTTACTGGTTGCAGATTTGCTGCGGATGTACACCATGAGAGGACTGTGAGAGTCGGAGTCCTGCGAGCCATTCATGAACATGTCATTGTTCACGTGCTTAAAGCGCTCTGCGGATGAGACCTGGTAATCGAATATGGCCTTGGTCGGATGGTTCTGCATGAATTCCAGTTGTTCATCGTCCATGCCGTTCATCTCGTCCTTCCGGAAAGCCTGCTGGATGTTCGTTTTGCCCCATCCAAATACGAAAGTCATCATCACGTCTGGGAATGTTCGATCATATCCTGATCCACACTTCATGCACAGGTGATGACGGATAATGGATTTCAGGGTGCACGAAGTCTCCATTGCATACTCCATTCTGTCCACAAGTGGCAAGTCTTTCATTTCATTCCACAGTCTCTGATATTCTCTCATGAGGATGTTCACGAGACCGTTGGCCGGATTGAAGACGTGCTGGAGCTTGCTGTAGGTGTTCGCTGATTTGTTGGCGTCTCCGGTGATTGCATCGCATCGGTACAAGGTCACGAGCGGCCTGATTTCATTTTGAAGATCTTCCCTCGCTGCTCCATGGCTGATTGAAGGATGGATGTGGAAAACTCCAATGGTAGCGAATGGGAGATCTGCCCTGGTTATGTGGCGGTCGTCATACTCATGGAGTGACTTGTTGGATGATTTCGGGAGCATGCCACGAAACTCATCATTCTGCTCGATGTGGAGAACGACGATCTCCTTGTCTCGGCCATGTCCTTGGACAATGGTGCGTGTTGGCAATCTCTGTCCAATGTACTTCTTGGATTCAGAAAACATGGATGGTCCTGTAGTTGCCAAGCAATCCGAGGTCGGAATTTCGTATTCAGGATCAGTGCAACTTCCTTCAGCCCCGAAGAAACATCTGAACATTCCGAATGTGGTTCCCCAATTCTGGCTCTTGGTGGAAATGTGTCTTGCCAGAAGTTCCACTCTTGCAGAAGGTCCGCCACGGACAAAACATGCGATCGGTCTGGATGACCACTGCTTGATCACGATGCCCTTGTAACCGTATCGAATGAACGTCTTGATGAGCTCCCTGGAATTCTCATCATTAGGACTGAAGAATGCGTCTGCTTCATTCAGGCATAAGATGTGTGCACTGTTCTGCATCATCATCTTTACGATTGGTCGATCCTTCATCGGCATGTTGTGCACCTCCCTGTTGTCCAGCTTTGGATTCCTCGTGAGGTTTCCATGGTTCAGGGTAAGCATGTTGATTGCTATGGATGAGGTGAACTCATGCATGTTGAGATAGTCCACAGGAGGTCGGTCGGTCGGCTGCGGCATAGGCTCGGATGATTTTCTGGTCGTCATGTGACCTGAGCTTCTTTAATCCAAGCGGAAGCTTGATCGGATATCCGGATCCTGGTTGAGCTTGCTTGTACTCGTCAATGGTGGGACATTCTCCACGATGAGGGAAGTAGAATTCTTCTTCTCCGAGATTGACATCGGGATCGACATGTGCCAATGAGGCTCTCTCGCACTCTGTCAAGTTGGGATAAGCTCTTCTTGGATCTTTGTTGAACTTGTCCATGAAGCGGGAAAGGTTAGCCTTGGTCTCCGCGAGCTCTTCCTCTGCGTCCTTTTTGTTCAAATCTGTGTCGAGATAGATTCCCTTGAGTCCTTGGATGAACTCATCTAGGTTCTCTGAATTCTGATATTCCACGGTGACTTTTGGTTTGACAGATCTTTCCCCGGAGGGTTCCATCGTCTCTTCTTCAGCTTCGTCCTGATCGGTGGAATGCCGTCTCTTCTTGGTCTCTGAGGAAGTATCTTTTTCCTTGCTGTGCTTGGTGGAATTCACATAATTGAAGAAGGCATCGGCAAATTCGCGGATCTTGGTGTCGCACATCTCATAATCTTCATGGCTGAGATGCTTCTTCATGATCCACTTGTTGCTCGCCATGAGGCTGCCATCAGGCTCAAATGCTGCAACGATGTTTCTTGCCGCAATGGTTTTGTCTGTCAATGCTGTTCGCTCTTCGGAGAGTCGGATGCCATAGTCTTGGTCCTTGAGGAATGCAAGGATCAACAGTGCATCTCTTCCTGCTGGCGCATGGGTCAATGCGGCTTCTGACTCATCGTCGTCAAGGATGACGTCATCGATGCATGCCATGTGAACGTGCATTCTCCCCAAAGGGTTTGACTGGGGATTTCCCAGATTTGAGCCCGTGCTCCATGATGCTGAAAAGCTGATTTCCATAGGTTGCATGGAACATGAATGTGATGGGCTTCTTCGCAAACGGCTTGATTTTTCTCTCTTCTTCAATGAATGTTGGTGCCGGCCTTCGCATTCTGTACTTGGGCTGAGCTGTGCCTTCATCTTCATGAGGTGCCTCGGATCTTGACGGATGCGGACTTGGCGGAATAGATTCCGTTGGTAGATCATAGTCCGGTTCGTCGTGATGAGGCTCTTTCTGCTGCTCAGAGTACAGGGGTCGTCCGAAGGATTGGATCTCGACTTGTCGTGTGTGTCCGCTGTTGCATCTCACATAGAACTCCATCTCCGGATCGACATAGAATTCATTGCCATCGGGCCTGAGTGCATTTTGTGCGGATCTTGTGTTGAGCTTGTCGATCCATCGATTCCTTGGAACGATTTCTCCCCGTGCCTTGCGCTCATTGTATGTCCCGTGCACGGATGGAAATACGAATGCAATTTCGAAACCTCATTTTCCATAGCTCGGGAACATAGCCATCAAGAGAAGTCCTGGCTTGTTTCCCATGAAGTTCCTGGCATGTGTGATGCAGGTCAATGCGTCATAGAGCTCGACGGAACCATCAGGACCCATGTCCACTGGTCGTTTGCATTCCTTATGGGTTCCATGCCTTGGATCATGTCGAAGACATCCGGAAAGTGATCTGCTCATTCTCTCAATTCGCCAGAGGATGAGATCTGTGATCTGTTTCGCCTTGGATGGATCCATGCTGAAGTATTTGCAAACCTGTTCGACATTCTGGACGGTCTTCTCGAGATCAATGTTGCCATTGTGGCATACCATCGGGATGATGTCGGTTCCGTAAACTTCGGATTGAGCATTGGTGTAACAGCAGATGCTGTAGACCTTCTTGATGAAGTCCATGTATTGCTTCTCCGCATGAGGTCCTTCACCTTGGAGTGTTGGCTGCCAGTACTCGTTGAATCTGGCCTTCAACCAGAATACTTTAACTCCATGTGGTCTCTGATGCTCAGGAACGAAGTGGAAATCCGGATTGACACCGAGGATGGTTGAGCATTCCCTGTAGTACTCGTACACAAAATTCAGGAATTTTGAGTTTCCGAAAGGTCCTGGGTGTACGGATTCCTTCTGGAGGCTGATGTTTTTATCCGATCCATATGTTACAAACCACCGATCATTGGATGTGAGAACAGGACGCA